GTACCCAATTCCATCAAGTACAGCGGAGCGAAGCGCTTCCCGTTTACTACATTTGCATCTGCCCGTGTCGGGACTAGCCATAACTCCGCAGGTCCTGCACGACCACAACCACACAGTGTCGGTAGTGAGAGTGACACCGGGTAGGGAAAGCAAAGCTAGACGGAGACAGCCGAAACCGTAAGCTTTCGAATCAAAGGTTGAATCGAACCTAACATAAACGGCAAAACTCTTCCCCGACGTGAATGTTGCCAGATCAGATTAGGTCGGACACGCGATGAACTATGTCATAATCGATCAAGATACTAATCTGACCAAAAATACACCTCTACTATGCTATCTAGTATGACTACCGTTTATGAACAAAAGCTGAGTAAGGACCGGGTAAAGGCCCTGAAAGTGACATTTGTATGGAACATACAAGAATTATTATTTGATGCAAGTCTTAATCGATCGAGATACTAATAATACCATGAGATGTTATACGTTATACGTCTACGGGAGATGGGTATATGAGAATGTTGTTCATGAAAAGATGCTGTGTTGTTAGCAGAAATTACTGACTTTTATAAACAGTATGCTAATTCTTTCAATCTGCACACTATACTACAGCGAGTAGTGATACAATGAGCCATTATTTGTAAGTTACGATGAGCGCAAAGAGACCGATCTCCACACACTCGCGCGTCAAGGGCGCGCGAGCTCCGCCCCTTCTCCGAGAAGGCCTAGTACCATGTACGATAGAGTTTCACCCGTTTACGTGGAGTGACGTAATACTCTGCGAAGAAGGCGATATCCACGATATGCAGTAATCGTAAAATATATTTTTCACTTGTGTTTTTCATATCACGAGTGAAACTCCAATGTCTTAATCGATCAAGATACTAATCAGACTATGTATAACGTCTTAAACGATTTAAAAAATCATCGAAACCTCCGCATAAGAGTCAAAGAATGCCCACCGATGACCTACTCCTTTGCATATATTTCCTGGAATCTCTTCAGAGGCAATCTGCATCCATTACGCGCCAACAACATCAGCGTATTCCTCAACACTTTTTCAGGTACCACACGTTTACCCTCTCCCCCTACTCCACTGTTACTGCTGCCCGCCTCCACCACTTCGCCCTTCACCGGAACAGAAGCAATACTGCTAGACGGACTACCCACAGGCACCAGCGGACCAGAACCGACAACAGCTCTATCGGTAGCCGTAGCCATAGCACCCTAATAAAAAACACACGAAGTTCCCGACCGCGCGCCACAAAATTCCCCCTCAACTTACACTGTAACTTCCATTACTGTCGCCCAAACCAGCGCTCCCTTCCCCCAACAACGAGTCCAGCGCCAACACTGGCGCCTCCGCACCCTCCGTCATCGGCAGGGCGTTGGCACCAAACTGAGCTTGTATGAGATACAACAAAGCGGGGTCCAGCGAATCCAACGAGCCTGCTTCCGATGACTGCTGGACGCCATCACCAAATGCAGCAGCAACAGCAGCCAGATAGTCGTTCACATACGATCCTCCATCGGGAGAGGGAGACGTCCCCATAAATGATGGAAACATTTCCGACAACAACGGCCGAAATCTATCAACTTCCAAGAGACAATCGATCAGTAGCAGTACCGTCACAAACTCAATACGTCTCCGATCAGACGAGCTACCTCCATAACCACCGCCAATAATGATGAAAACGAATATTTGCACGCATGCGCAAAGATACGCCCTCAACATACCGTCTCTGAGCTCTTTTTTTGGATCTACTATATTTTTTTCTCTTCTGGCAGACTCCAGCCGATCGAGAATCAACCCAACCAACCTAAAAAACAATAAAAATTCATCTTTGCGAATTCACCACAATTTTCCTATTACTTCGAGCCTCCCACAAACGGCTGCTATTCGCCTCCGCCTTCCTCGCCGTTCCTCCCCGGAAAAAGGTAATCGCAGAGCCGACTTTTCTGCACGTTTTTAACTTTACCTAAAACACAATAGAATTCAAACCGTCAGTCAATACCAAATCTGATGACATTTCCACTCTTAAAAACGATGCGTTCGAAGACATGATGAAGATGAACGAAATACATAAATTGCCGAATACCATATCCATAGAAGTCAATGGCCTCCTGCGTCAAAAATAACGCACAGAAAATTTACGAAAGTTTTATGCTGGAAATTCAGGTCGCATCCAAATTTTTGTGGAAACATGATTATACACGAAGTCTCACTTGGAAGTCAAACGAAAAACGATTATCAACCTTCACACGTCGGAGAGATGAACATAACCCCCAGAGAAATGATCTGTAGTATTCGCTTTACTACAGTGCGGCGAAAGCTACGAAGCTCCACAAGAAGACATCCAACTTTTTGACAACAACTCTATCGAAAAATGAAATAACCATTTCACATGAGAAATGCTCACCCGATGTTCTCACTCACCATCAGCGCCTTGCATCATCCTGCAGTCCCCTGCAGTCTGGTCTCCAATTCCTCCATGGTTGTAGTAGCACGATTCGCCAAAGGGGCAGTCCTCCTTCATACGATAGAATTTACACGGGATCCTCGACAGAGCCTTCTTATAACCCTCCACTTCTCGCAGCTTCTCGTCACCATGCACCAACCATCGGTCACACGGCACGATCAAAAAGCTCTCCACCCGACAAAGAGGGCACAGCCGAAGATTCTCTCGATCTTGAGTGTCTTTCTGATCACGCCATTCTCTAATGCACTCGAGGCAAAACGGATGGTCGCAGTTCTCGAGCAGACCAAAGCGTTTACCGCTAGCAACAACATCATCATCGCAGATGGCACAGAGGACGTTTCTGGTCGCAAGACGTGCCTGGGAGGAAGAACAAATATGATATACGACAATGCTGTGAAATTCAACAAGAACAAAAAAGAAAAAAATCCAAATTTCTGGATTTTCCAGAGTACCCTCGATTTGGACTGTAAGACAAAAACAAAGATGCTGAGTGCAATGACATTTCGAAACGCTGAAAAATATTCGTCATTGAAACTACCTGATGCTTGTTGTGCTTTTCCTCCCAAAGTGGGTCGGCTCTCGGACTCTCTCCATCGTGGACGTGCAGATTTCGACAAGCCTCGCCGAACTTGCACAGTCCAGTCTGATAGAACCTGCATACTCCCACACCGTGCACGCCAGAGTAAACATCTTCCTCCGGAGGGTAACCATAGCCGAAAATGGGCGTGTTCGCGGCTGAGTCGTAGAGGTTAGGACCAGCGTAATAGCTCGAGGCACAGCACATGGAGTCGTCACGGATCCAAACGCCCGAGCCGTCGGACTCTGAGGAGCGTGTTGGGGAGTAGACCGCGGGCTGATGATGATGATAGCGGTACGGCGGGTAGCGCTGATGAGGATGACCCCAAGCGGACTGGGGTGGAGGGGGAGGGGGATCGGATGAGGCAACTTCAGTCCAATACATTAGAACGGATAACAATTGGCTGATGGTCGATCATCGATTTACCCGTCATGTTCCCTACTTGGACCTATTCTGTATCTTATGAGGTCAACCTAAAGATATTCGCGGATTCCACCTGAGCAAAACTGCGTGCGCGAGCGTGACGGGAAGTCACCCTTTCTAGCACTGCCCGAACAAACTATGAAACGGTCATGCACGGGGAACTTGAAATCTTGCGAGTCTTGCATTTCCTCAACGCGACATGCGACAATTGAATTGACTTTTTCTGATTGGATTTAGAACGTTGACTTCGATCCTGAGTGTCATCTGAGGCGCCTCGTGGATCTTCCTATGAGGAATTTGTCACTGCGCCACGAAAATGTAGACGGAACTTATAAGAAGAAAATTATCAGGTACCGTTGGGATTCATATTTCAATTTTCGAATGCGATGACGACCGTATTTACTAAGAGTGATACTATCGGGAAGTGTGTGGGGAAAAATGCACATGGTCAACTACATGTGTTGGTGACAATATGAAAATTCTGAAGTTCTTATTAGTTTCTGTGCACTTCTACCCGAAATCTAAATTTCTATAATTAGTGAGGAAACTGCTAAGGTCAGCTAAGGAAAGCGATCATATATTCCAACACCGCGCCCGGGTTCGAACCTGCGCGCATTTCCAAGTCTCAGTTTCATGTCAATGCCCTCATCCAACTCAGCCGAAGGACGGCTGACGAGTGTTGAAGGCCACAATAGCAGAGGTAGTGTGAAATCTTGGGGATACGGAATATGCCTTTTCGCAGACTGGAAATCGATCCGTATAGGAGTCTAACATGTGCTCGCACATGTGCTCGAATATTGAAAAATTTCAGGAAAAAATTCTCGGAAAAAATGACAATCGTCGGGCTCAGTAAAATATTTTTTCCAGATATCCTTTTGCATCGGAATTTTTTGTTGGAAAAATTGTCCTTGTCTCTGCCGTATATAAAATCAATGAATAGATAGACCGTTTGAGCATCTTTGCAGAAAATTGAAGTCGTGAAGTTGCATAAAATACATCTTAGGGGTTTCTCACGATCT